AATCATAAGGTATATTCTTTCCGCTCGGGAGTTTCATTCGAACCTGTCTTTTTTGTTTTCTCATTATTTTCGCAATTTTTTAAAGTCGAGCTAGACTTATTGTGGTAAACAATGAAGAAATGAATTTTTGCTAGTTTTCAGGTTATCGAAATTGAAAGCGGTTGGTTGACCGAGGTTGCTCCGCATTACTACAGGGGCAAGGAACTGGATGATCCGGCAAGTCGGAAGATGCCAAAACAAAAAGGAAAATCTGCTGCTGAATTGTCTTCATTATAATGTGTTACTTTTTTGTGCATATTCATAATTCAGTTTGTACATAATTCGATTTTGTACATTGTTTGTGCATAATTCAATGAATTCAAAGAGGGAAAAGAGGAGTGAAGAGGAAAATGACTTTAATGAGTTCAAAAATGCAAGGGTTATTTTTCGGGAGGAAAAGGGATTTTTTTTGGTTATTTTTATGTGAAGTTGTTGAGCTAGTAGTGTTTTCATTCCTACTATTTCTGATGTGACTTAATTGATTTTATCATTGTATGGTGTTGGTCTCTGCTCATAATGTGCTGCTTTGTCATTTTCGCTTTCCGGCATTCCACGTTTGATGTATTACGTGACCCGGTACGCGCTTTTGCGGTAATTTATTAAATTAGTTGTTTTGTAACATGGCGTAGTCGGAAAATTTCGCCGCCGTTCAAGAATGCTTTAAAATCAACAAGGCGTACTGTAGATTATTGTTATTGCACTTTCACACTGATTTACTTATCTTTTTGTTAGCAAACATAAAGTGTTTTATTATTTTTTTGCTTCTTTTTGGTGCTTTCTTGTTTGTGCAAAAATTATATCGATATTTCAGTGCGTTTTGAATTTGATTTTTTCACGGGAGGTGGAGAGGGGCGAGGAAAAGGCGGAAATCGAAAGTCAGTTATCTCTATAATTTTGCTTGGCATTGGAAGCTTAACGAAGGCTTTTAGACGTCTTCGGATCTCCCCGTGCATCGATCTTTTACCTCGAAGTATCAACCTGTACTACATGCATAAATTATGTTTTCAGTTATAGAATATGGAGGTGACTGCTGGTGGCCCGGGTACTGAGCATGGTACGCAAGAAGTGCCAGCGCAACAGTTTGACGTTCCTGAAACGCCGCAGCAGAAAGCACTGTTGAACTTGGTGTTCCGGTCGATGAAACGGACGCATGACATGTTTTATCACGATTATGGAACCCTGCCGGAATTGGACCCGAAAGCGTATGTGTCTCATTTCTTCACTGATTTTGCACTCAAAGGAAAAATAGTACATGTGTTAGAGAACTTACGAATAATATTTTCTTCCTGAAGCATGAACTTCGAAGTACTACGTGTCAATGGAGGACCGCTTAAAAAAAAAAGAAAAAAAAAAAAAAAACATTGGTTTCTCAAAGCACAATAATGAACGCATATGCCTTACGTGTGGCCACATTTCCATGTCTGTACCAACGCCGAATTGGATTTGAGAAGCACTATTACTAGTGCCAAAACAAATAACTTCAACTTAGCCATTAATAAACTAACTTTTCTTTTAACAGCATGGATATAATAGATCTTCAAATCTGTCAGTGACATCCAAATTTAGCTTACAATATGATGTGGTAAATTTTTCCGTCAAATACTAGAAATGCAAATGTCATGCGCTTAATAAAAAAGACAGTGCAAAGTTAATGCACGAATTTTTAACAGTTCTGAAAGAGGGGCCATGGCATAAGGCTATCGTTAATAGCATCGACAGAGCTCAACATCGAATGACCAAGAATAGCGCCCCAGGGAAGTCACTTTACATTTTTGCAATATTCGCTCGAAAAATCGTATGATTTCTGTTTTTATTATAAGCGAAGCTTCACCACTTCACTGGACGTAACGGATGTGACTTTTTAAAAGCAGCCATACTTGTTGAGACGGTCCGAAACTGACCTGCGAGTTGATAAAGTGAATTCGAGATATCCCAGCCCTTCTGCCAAAGCGGTCTTGCGTTTTTTGTACGATTTGTCCGCTAAATTTTTGTTGTCAGGCGAATCTAAGCATGCATTCAGCTCGAAAACGTGTGTGAAAGTTAACTAGCTGCCAGTCAATAAGAATGTAATACTTAAAAACTGCATATTTCTTCTTTTTCTGAACTTGAACATTTGGTTCATTTGCGTTTCTCAATCTGATTTTCCAGTTATATATCTTGATGCCGCGACGCCTGAAGTCTGATGGCGATCTTGACTCTTATGTCTTCAAACTCTAATTTGATTAATAAGTCGGAAAAGCTCACCAGCTGGCTTGTCATACTCTACAAGGGTCTAGCTGTGTAGGGAATATGCATGGTTTTGCAGCAGACGCAATTTTCTTTAATAATTCCAGGCATCATCCACAAAAAACTTGCAGCATCGACGCTTCGCATACCTTTAAATTGCTAGTGTTTGCTTGCTCGCAATGCAATCTAAAATGCAGGAAATTGTGTTTCTTACTTTTGCTTAAATGCAGAAAGAAGCCCAGTGTGAATCAACATTCGCGGAAGCAGACATTACTCTCAAGGGATTTGTGAATTTGCATAAATTTGCAGTGATAATTTGTGGCGAGCGGTGAAACTGAGGTCAGAATACGGGGATGTGCTAAAAGAAGTGAACGAAGCGAAGCGGAAGAAGGAGGAGGAACTTCTAAAATTACCAAGCAAGACAGCTATAAATGTGCCCAGCAGTGCCGGTGATAACGCTGCTCCACTTGCCATCGATGCTGGAAGCACAGCAGAAGCTGCAAGGTAATCATATAATTTCCTCTTGTAAAAAGTAAAAAGGAATTTATATTTAAAAAAAGAAAACATAATTTTAAGAAGCAAGTTATAAGTGGGTTTTAAAACGAAAAAAGAGCATTTGTAGCAGAAAAACAATTACGTCGTCTACTCGTTTCTGCATAGGAGAATGGACAAAATCCTTTGTTTCTCTTTTTTTATCAGGAAATGGCCGACCTTTCCTTTTCGCATTAGTAACTTTGAAGTTTGACAATCTTCCTGATATTTTATGCATTTTATCTTTGTTTTTAATAGAGTTAATATGTGACACTTGTTAGCGTATTTGCAGCAGGGCCAAAGACACTGCAGTGGCAACGACGACACCTGCAAGGCCTGAGGACAGTACCGTACGCACGATGCTGCCAGCTCGAGCTCCTATGATGATTAAGCCAAAGTGGCATGCGCCCTGGAAGCTGTACAGGTGTGCACTTACTTATTTTTTAGATAGCAGGTACCATCGAACAATTTGAAATTTTTCGTTGAATTTTTGGGAAGCGATTATCATTGCTTTGCTTCACTAATTTTTCGTTACAAATTAGTGCATTATTCTTGAACTGCCTTTTTTTGATCGAATTCTTATACATATACATGTATAAGAAATCGATCAAAAAAGCCGCTCTGGATCCATCTATGTTTGTCTATGTATACGTGTAAATATACATATATGCATATACATATATATATATATATATATATACATATATATACATGTATATATGTATATATGTATGTATATAC